CAAGAATATCCCTCCTCCAGGCAGCTTTCTTGCCTCTTCTCCAGGACAAAGCCCTGGCATCCATCTGTCTTCCATCTTTCCCACCATTCCTGCCTCTGGCTTAGCCTTGCCTCATGGAACATGTGTCTGGTTCTGTCTATCCCATATTAGGGGCTCTTGGGGATCGGGTCCGGGGCTAGGTTCTTTTGGATTTTTCTGGGTCCCCAGCATCACCTGGCACTGATGGAGTGGCACAGGGGAGGGTGCAGGGTGATGAATGAAGTCATACTAAGCTTGAAGCTCCTGACCACCGCCTTGGAGCCTCCCCCACCTTCTCATCGCCCACATCCTTGCTCTGCTCCACACTGACCAAGCTCCCTCTCTCCTCTCCATGTCTCTGCCCCGGCTGTGCTCTTGTCAGGGATGCTCTTTTCCAAATTCCAGCTCTATTTTCCAATAGTCACCTACCAGTGCCCCCGGAAGGTTCTTCCTGCTTCTCTGGACCCCGCCAGCCCTGGCTCTCCTCCTGGTCCAGCCTGGTTCCCATGTGCTATCTTCTCAAGGGTGCAGATGAGGCTGAGGCTCTTGGGGCCCCAGTCTCACCCAGCATGGGGTGGGCACAGAAATAGGCATGTACCTGGGAGACCCCTGCAGGGTCCGAGGCCCTCACTCTGGCTGTGCCTCGGCAGCTACAGGAGCCTTGAGTTTCACTTTAGGGTCTGCACGTCAGCAGGGCGGGGCACTCTGCCCCAAGTGGTTCCTGTTTCCTTAAGTAGGTGAGCCCTGGGCGGGGACTAGGACACCAACTGGCCCCCACCCCCACCCTCAGCCCCAGTCTGCTTTTTATGTATTGTTTTGGCTCGGTTTTCTTTGCTGCATGTGGGTTTTCTCTAATTGTGATGAGCTGGGGCTGCTGTTCATTTCGGCTTCTCTTGTTGCAGAGCATGGGCTCCAGGGCGCGCCGGCTTCCATAGCTCAGTGGTTGTAGCTCTCAGGCCTGGCGGGTTCTCAGCATGTGGGATCTTCCCAGACCAGGGATCGAACCCGGGTCCCCTGCACTGGCAGGCAGATTCCTAGCCACTGTGCCACCAGGGAAGCCCAGACCTCGACAGGTCTTTACTGTACACCTACTGTGTGCTGAGCTCCGAAGAAGTGATGCTTTTGAACTGTGGTGTTGGAGAAGACTCTTGATAGTCCCTTGGACTGCAAGGAGATCCAACCAGTCCCTCCTAAAGGAGATCGGTCCTGGGTGTTCATTGGAAGGACTGATGCTGAAGCTGAAACTCCAATACTTTGGCCACCTCATGCGAAGAGTTGACTCATTGGAAAAGACCCTGATGCTGGGAGGGATTGGGGGCAGGAGGAGAAGGGGACGACAGAGGATGAGATGGCTGGATGGCATCACCGACTCGATGGGCATGAGTTTGAGTAAACTCCGGGAGCTGGTGATGGACAGGGAGGCCTGGCGTGCAGCGACTCATGGGGTCTCAAAGAGTCGGACACGACTGAGCGACTGAACTGTGTGCTAGATCCTCAGGGGACACAGGGGTGACCCCAAGACAGGCATAGGCCCTGCCCTCCCAGCATTGATAACCTGGCAAGCAACGAAGAGGGGTGAGAAATGATTCATGTCATCATTTTTAAATGGACAGCCTATTAGGAAGCGGGAACTGGTGTTGCAAGAACCTCCAGAGGAGGCCCAACTGATCTGCGGGAGGGGCAGGTTGGAGTCAACTTGACTGGGGGGTTGTGTGGGAAGAATGCTCTGGGCCCGGGCAGGGATGAGAACAGCACAAGCAAAGGGCCTGAGGCAGCAGGACTGAGCCTGAACAGGCAAAGGCCTCACTGTGTAAGCAGGGCTACGTTACAATTTCCTCTGTAAGCAAACAAACAAACAAAGCACCCACTTAACATTCTACTTTATGACTGCATTGACACCAAGACCAATGCAGCCCAGGCCGGATTCATTTTATATATTCATTATTATTGTACCCATTTTTTCCTTCTGATTAAAAAAAAACTAAGACATTTTGAGGGGCATCCTACATACACTGTGGGGGTAGGGACCCGGCCTAACGGATCAGCTAGCCCCACATGTGTGCTGGCTACCTCACCCCCCCGGCAAAACCACTTCCTCCGGGCTTCTCAGACAGAAACGGCCCAGATCCCTGCGGCTGAGCTGGGGCCTCTCTGCGGACCTATCGCCCTGGTACAGCTGGCTGAGGCAGCTGCCTCCCCCCGACCCCGCTCCCCAATTGAAGGCTCACGTTGGATTGACCCAGCCCCCAGCTGGCCCCTTGCACCAGGGGTTGGACGGGGGTTGGGGGTGCTGGTCCTGGAGTCAATCATGCTCAAACAGGAGACGCATGGAGCTGGGTTTCTCACTCGCTCACTCACGGTGTGGCTTTGCGCGAGTCACTCAGACACCCCCCCACCCCGCCCCAGTTCCTTCGTCTGTGAAGTGGGCAGCCCTCCTGAGCCACGTGATGATTAAGGGGAGACAACCCTGCAGCAAGCAGCACGACGTTCAATTAAGAGGAACACGGGGACTCTTCACTGCGATTTAAGCGGATGCCTTTGCTCCTGGCTGAGGGAGAGGCAAGCTTGGCCTCCAGACCTCAGAAGCTGGGCTGCCTTGGGCAACTCACTTCACCTCTCTGATCCTCTATGCCTTCCCCGGCCCGATGGATGGGCTCCCAGCCTTGAAGAGAGGAGCAATGCTGCTGTGGAGGGGATCAGAATCGACCAACAGACCTTTATCACAGAAAGTCTGACCATCGGGGACCTCATTTACATGGAGTTCAGTCTCTAGAAACATGAGGTTTTTCAGTCGTCTCCAGGCCACCTCCCTGAGGCCCCACCACAAAGGGCCCCGCCCTGATGACTCTGACTGCGTGGGGGACCTGTTTCACAGACCAAGTCCTCCCCTGAGGCTGTCACAACAGAATCACCCCCACCGCTTGGTGACCAGTCTTTGAACCTGTGAATAGACACATGGCCCTCAGAGGAACATTCCAGAAGGGGACCAGCAGGGAGACAGTAGGGCTGGGTGGCTCCAAGACTCCTGTCCACCCCCTTACGTCAGCCCCTTAATCTAGGATCTGGGATCCTCGCTGGAGGCCTCAGCTGGTGTGACATTCAGTGGATCCCGTGTGGGGTGGCTCTCGAGTCGTAGTGGCCGCAAGCGAGTCTCAGCCCTGGGACACATTGGGCTGCGGTTGTCAGGGCTGGGGAAGCCCTGTCAACTCTGAGCTTCCTGTGCCTTCATGGTCCTTACGTTCGTGCCCCAATGCCTCCATTCTATCAATTCATTCATCTGTTCATTCCACAGACACCGGTGAGCCCCACCTGTGGGCACCACGCTAGATGCTGGTGAAGAAGACAAAAGAGATTCTGTTCTTGCCCTGCTGGGGCTCATTATGGTCCGTGAGGGGACTGATGCCACACAAGTCCACATGCAGGAGAGGCTGGCAGAGGAGAAGCCAGCAGGGGAAGTGTGCTGGGAGAGGAACAAACTTGGCAGGCTTGCAAAGCAGACAGGCAAAGTATCCAAAAGGTGGAGACAACACAAACATCCATCAACGGGTGAACGTAGAAAAGATGTGATCCATTCATACAGTGGAATATTACCCAGCTGTAAAAAGACATGAAGTGCATGACTGAGCCCCAAAACTTTATGCTGAGTGAAAGAAGCCAGATGCATGTCACACAGTGTACAATTCTATTTATATGAAATGTTCAGGACAGGCAAATCCAGAGAGACAGAAAGCAGATTAGTGGTTGCTGGGGGCTGAGGAATGGGGAGTGACTGCTAATGGGTAGTAAGTGATAAAAATCTCTAAAACTGACTGCAGTGATGGTTGCACAACATTGTGACTACTCAAAACTACTGAACTGCACACTGTGGTGGGTGAATGGTATGCGTATGAATTACATCTCTCTATAGCTGCTACTGGGAAAGACACTGATGCTGGGAAAGATTGGAGGCAGAGGGAACAAAAGATGAGATGGTTGGATGGCATCACCAACTCAATGGACACGAGTTTGAGCAAACTTCGGGAGATGGGGAAGGACAGGGAAGCCTGGCATGCTGCAGTCCATGGGGTTGCAGAGTCGGACACAACTGAGTGACTGAACAAAAGCTGTCATCAAAAGAGCCAAGATATCATGTGGCTCAGTATGGGGGAGATGGAGCTGGGAAGCTGATTCTCCACGTGCCACCTCATCAAGATCTTTAGAAACAAGGAAAAGTAATGACTCTGAGAGAGAGGCTGACACAAGGTGGGATGAGGGGCTTAAGGACCCTACGTGACCTGGCTGGGAGTGACCGGTGGGAACCTGGGGCATTATGGAGCAAATACCTTACAGCACAAAGCTGTTAACTTGGATGACTTGTTCCCTGTGCGAAACAAGAGGTGGGTTTTTCTCCTGGGAGATGAGTAACAATGCTAATGGTAATAAATCAGATGACAACAGGCCTCAGCAGCTGGCCGGGGATGTGCCCTCTCATGGACTTTTCAGAGCCATCCTGCAAGGTGGAGACCATGATACTGTCCATCTTACAGACGAGGGAACTGAGGCTCAGCCCCTGGCTGAGTGGTGGGTCTGCAGCAGGATCTCCCGATAGGTGAGGAAGGGGGCTCGCAGTGGAGTGCTCAACTTGGCAAAACATGTCAGCAGGGACCAAGAGAAGCCTGGCAGGGTGAATGTGGACAGAGTGGGTTCAGTCGAGGGCACGAGGCTGACAGGGAGCGTTCTGTTTTCCTCTGCTCTATGTGTATGTGTTTGGGGGGTTGGAAAGCTTATTTTCCCAAGTCAGTCTTCATGTAATTGTATCACCTCCTCAGAGCTTGGGGCTACCTTCTCCTCCAGCCTGGGTTAACCTGCTGCCTCCACTTTGATCCCATCCAGACCTGAGGCCCCTGCTGACCTGGGCTGTGTTTTAAATAGCAGGCATCCTGTGAACACAACATGTGGCCACATCCGTGTACCTACACGGAAAATGCGGACATAAAGATCCGTTAGCTTTGAAATGAGCTTTAATTGGTTTGGTTTCTGTAAGTGCATTTATCGACGTAAACAGAGCTGGTTAAAGAGATTTCCAGGGGACAGCAGACTATTGCTGGTATGTTGGTTTTAATTCAAAAAAGAAAGAGAAAGGCTCCCTGGTGACACCCCTCTGACCTGGCGACCTGGTGTCGACTGCCGTCGCTCCGGGAACTTAAGAGCTGTTGGAACAGCACTGGGCAACGACGGCAGCTGAAAACCCGCCCAGACTGCTCTTCAGCCCGGCCCCGCGGGCCACCCTGTGCTCTCGGCGGGGAAGGGTATGCGTGTTATAGATCACCTGGGTCTGCCACTGTAAATCAAAGACGGAATCACCTCCTGACACTACGGATCTGGAAAAATAAAAATCTCTAGAAAGAACGTCCAATTCGGAGACGACGGGAGAAGGAAGAGGAGTGGGCGCCCCGACGGGCAGGCCGAGTGGAGACGGTTTGAGTGGGGGCCCCCGAGGCACGCACGGGGAGCCCTCGGAGCTCAGGTGGGGACTGCTGGAGAGACCTGCCGGCCGAGCCCGAGGCCCCGCCGGACCAGGGGACCAAACCTGGCTGTAAACAGGAAAGGCCACGCCATGCTTCTTTCCTCAGGACTTCCTTAATTTGTGCTTCCCTTTGGTTTGACAGTTAAAATGAGACGGGATGGTGGGGACGGGTGAGGGTGGGGATAATGGCTTCTGTCACTCGTCCAGAAACCGAGAGGAGAGGTGACAGTGGGCGTCGGACGTGCGGGGCAGGTGCCTCCCGGCCTGACGTGGGTCAGCGTGCTCGAGCGCTCCGGGAGTGATCGCCGGCCTCAGCGGGGGCCTTGCGCCTGCTGCAAGGGGACGTGGATGGTGGACGGGCTTCCCAGCGGGGCTCTGGCTGTCGAGGCCCAGAGGTGGTGGGCTGCTGCCGACGGCCACGCCGCGACTCCATCTCTCTCTCTAGTTACACGCTGTGTGGACCCGTTCAGCGGACGTCGCAGGAAAGACAGCAGGTTCTTTTCACTCATTCCATCTCCAGAGTTGAAAAAGATCAGTTGCTAAAATAAACGATTTCTCGATTGTGTTCTGGTGGCCGTGGGCCCAGTGGCCGCGGCCGCGGCGGGGGGTGCTGGAGGGGGGAGGGCCCCGGCTGAGTGAGGGGCTCACTCAGGACAGGCACAGTCAGCTGGGCCGAGCGAGGCTCAGAGTAAGGCGACACTCCTCACAGAAGGACACATCGGAAGAAGCTGCTCCTCTTCTGCTGGTCCGGGGTGATTTTGACTCCTTGGTTGCTCCCCTGGGGGCTGTTGCCTTCCTGAAATCACAAGGGGTTTTCTGGGGTTACAGCCAAGCAACATGAGCTCTAGGCCCCTCAATCAACCAGCCACTGTATCCATCTGTCACGTTCCAGCCAACTGTCCACCCGTCTCCTTCCTTCCTTCCATCCAACCATCCATCCATCCCTTCCATCCAACCACCCGCTCACTCCCATCCACCGTCCACATACCCCCTTCCTTCTTTCCATCCATCTCCTTCCAACCAACCATCCCAACCTTCCCCTTTGATCATCCATCAATCCTTCCAGCTGACCCCTCCAACTCATCTTTCAAACACCCATAGATCTGCTTTTCATCTACTACCCATCCATCACTCCTTCTAACCATGTATTCCTTTAATCACTCATTCATCTACCCATCCACACCTTTCCAACATCTTTCCAACCACTGATTCACCCATCTCATACTCTTCTCCCCCATTTCCTTCTTTCCAGTCACCCATCCTTCCCTCCGTTCTGTCTGTCTATGCATCTGTGCCAAGCACCTATCAGTGAGGCAGCTGAGGGGCAGCAAAAGGCTCTGCCTCTTGGGATGTGAAGGTGCTGGGTTCCGGGTCCCGTTGCCACTCACACCCACTGGCCTCCCTGTCCCCGTGCCAAGGCTCCGGCTCCCACCTCTCCCCACGGTTTGCCCTCCGCCCTGCTGCAGGCTAGGCATGCCCTCAACTCAAGCCGTTCTGAAAACCCATCAGGGCTGCTGCCCAGCATCTGAAGCCTCTGATCTGGCCCCTGCCAGCCCTGACATCTGAAATCCTATTTTTCCCCCACATGTTTGGAAGGGTGCAGGCACTGTTTCTTTGACTAATTTCTTCTCATCTTTCAGTTCTTAGGTAAAATCTGAATTTATTCAACAGTAACTGTTGAATGTTACAATACTGCCCAACTTATACAATGTCCCATGTGAATTACATTAAAAAAAAAATAAGACCGACAGGAAAGGATCCGGGACTGCCACTCTGAACATAAACAAACGTAGTAAGAACTGGACAGAATTTAATTGTTGGTGATTTGCAACTTAGTTAAAAAAAAAAAAAGAAATTACATAGATTATCGCTGAGCATCAGCATCTCATAATCTATGCCTTGGAAGGAGGCAACCAATAGGCCTGTATGAAAAGCATAGGCAGGGACGTTCCTGGTGGGCCAGCAGTTAAGAATCCATTGTCCAAGGCAGGGAATGTGGGTTCGATCCCTGGTAAGGGAACTTAAGATCCCACATGCCATGGGGCAACTAAGCCTGTGTGCTGCAACTACTGAGCTTGTGTATTCAGAGCTCATGCTTTTTAAGAGGAGTCTACGTGCTGAAACTAGAGAAAACCTGCGTGCCACAGCAAAGATCCAATGCAGCCGAAATAAAACGTAATAATCATACAGTAAAATAAAAAATAAAGGCATAAAGTGTTGTCATGATGCCCGGTGTAACTCCCACTGGGTCCAAGTGAGTCAGAACGGTGGTTAAGAATCAAACTTTTACAGTTATATTGAAGAGAAAAGAATTCTAAGAAAATTACAACTGTAAGAAAATTTTTCTAAAAGTACATCGGCTTACATAGACTGTTTCCTGTTTTGGCTAAAGAGCTGCTACTCAGTCGATCATGTGCTCTGCAATTCAATTCACGGCATCTTAGAATTATGAAAATGACACTCATTTTGAATCAGATGTGAACTACTTGCATGGTGTTTTGTGTTGGGCATGCAGTCCTGTATGACCAGACGTAGAACGGGTCACAGAGTGCTTCAAGCTCTTGTGTCAGACAACAGGAAGCATCACTTGGCAGGAACAGAATGGTTCCTAGAACAGAGGCCCTGGAGCAAGGCTCACGACAGCATTTCGGTGCTGAACATGCCCCCAGAATAGTTGAGCGTTTGGCCTCCACCAAGAAAGCACTAGTGATGCCGAATGCCTGGGACTACGAAACTGCTTCTGTGGTAAACCCACAAGCTGGAAATGAATGAAAGGGTGTGAGGGAGGGATTCAGGCAGGACCTCTTAGAGGCCTCAGAGCCCTGGGAAGCACTGAAGGCCGGCACAACCTGCAGACTGATAAGGAAGGAAAAAGGCTGTCAACCTGCCAGACTCTTCAGGATGGAAAACCAGCAGCTGTCAAGACGCAAGCCTTGCCTGGGGGCCTTGCGACTCGGTAGACTCTGGTTCTCAGCCTGCCTGGCGGGTTTTTCTGCAGGAGGCCCTCCATCTTCCTGCGGGCTTGGCTCCTGAGAGGGAAGGAAAGGGCCGTGTGTCCCCAGCCAGCTGGTGGGCTTAGTGAGCAGTGCCTGCTACTGAGTAGCTCTGGGCCAGTGGAAAGATGAAGCTCATGACGGACTTCTCTCATGGCACAGTGACATGAATCCGTCTGCCAATGCAGGGGACATGGCTTCGATCTCCCATTGGGGAAGATCCCACATGCTGTGGAGCAACTAAGCCTGTGTACTACAACTACTGAGTCCACTCACTGCAACTACTAAAGCCCTCGAGCCTCGAGCCTGTGAGCCACAGCGAGAGAAACCACCGACTGTAATGAGAAGCCAGAGCACCATAATTTAGAGCAGCCCCTGACTCTGCAACAAAGACCCAGTGCAGCCACATAAATAATAAAATAAATGAATTAAAAGCAACAGAAACAACAACGTCATTCTTTAAAAAAAAAAAAGATGAAGCTGATGAGCAAGCTCAGGGTGGATGCCCACACGCCACCTGCTAACTCGGCCTCCTTTCCGAGCGATGCCCTCCTAGGTGCAGCCCTCAGAAGCAGGGCCCCGCCCAGGGGTGGATCACACCACTGGGGGCGATGCCGGCCAGTTTCAACAGGGACCCCCACTCACCAATTTTTTATCCATTTTTGCTTTGATGTCTCTGGCGAGAGTGTAAAATGCCTGTGGAATAAGTACATGGTTAGCACCCTGGGAGTGGGAGGTAGATGGGGGCTGGCTGGTTCCTGGCCCCTGCCATGCAATGGGTGTGGCTCAACAGCGAGGCAGGGTGGTAACAGTGTTAGGACAGAGACCCAGGCATGGGGCTCACCTGTCCATCCCCATCTATCTCCTGTCACTGCAGGGATACCCCCACTCACCCAGACCACCACTTCCCCTGAGCCAATGATCCAAGGAGGTGGGATCACCCTTGATTGGTCAGAGGGGAAACTGAGGCGTGGAGGGGGCCCAGTGGCTTGTCCCAAGGCAGCCAGGGGCTCACTGACTCCTCGCACTCTCAGTCCTCGATCCCTGTGCTGCCTGCTCTGCCCTGCTACTAACAGTCAGGGGCAGGGCAGAAAGACAAGTGGCTCCTTGGCCAAATAAGCTTCATTCTGGGTCGCTGCCCCGAAAGGCCTGGGAGGTAGGGTCAAAGGTTTACCTTCCCAGGACGGGTGAAGGCTTGAGCTGACCTGACCCCAGGCTGCTGCTCGTGCCAGTCTCCTGACCGTGTATTTCCTCCCCCCCTCATCTGGGAAGCACTCCCAAACCCCACTCTGGCACCAACCCTGCCCCGAGCCTAATACAGGGATGAATCAGCCTTCGCATGTGCTGTCGAGGGCTGCTGGTCTGGGGAGAGGCAGAGTGTCACCAAAAACTCGTTGATGTGGTCAAGTTCTGCTGTGGAGGGGGTCTCGGGGTGCCGGGGATGCCCAAAGTGGTAGGCCTAAGGGCCTGGGGGATGGCACAGGCCTCCTGGGGGAGGGGCCGCATGGACTTGTCCCTGACGGGGAAGGGAAGGGGGACGGGACCATGGTAAAGGCTTGGAGGAGGGCATGGCACAGGGGGCCAGGCTCAGAGAGAGGTGGGCGAGGCCCGAGCCACAGGCGACACACACTGGCTGGGGCCAGCTAGGGACGGCTTTCTGTGCCTCTTGTAGGTGGCTGAGGTTGGGAGTGGCGCGGAAGGTCCATTCTGGAAAGACTTCAGAAGTGGCGGAATGGAGCAGAAGGCAGGGGAGCTACAGGGCTGGTGGAGCGGAGAGGAAGGCCTGCCTGGGCCAAGTCTCGGCAGGGCCCCCTGCTCTGGACAGGCGGGCGCTGTGAATGAAAGCGCGAACCTGGAGGTGAGCCTCGGTGCCAGCCGGGAGGACTCTGCGTCTCGGTCCCCCCACCTACAAAACCGCGCCTGCTCCCCAGCGCGGCCCGAGAGCCAATGAGATCGTGTCCTAGGTACCCAGCGGGGACTGGCCCCTGCTGGTGTCAGAACACGGGGGTGATCCCCCCAAACTGCCTGGGCCTTGCAAGGGGCCTGGCACGTGATGCTGCTCAAGGAGAACCTCTCGGTCATCAGTCTAGAGGTCGCGGGAGCCTGTGGCCAGTCCCTGAGACACAGCCTCCTTGGAGGGTGCGATCTGACCCTCGGCCCAAAGGGGCTGGTGCCGCCAGCCTAGGACTCACGTTCTCCACGTTGATGTTGGCCTTTGCGCTTGTCTCCATGAACTTGATTCCATAGTCCAGGGCCAGCTGGGAGGGAGACACACATGTGAACATCAGCTGCTGGGTGCCCTGACCCCCACACAGCACCCTAAGTGGTTAACAGTGAGGGGGTGCTGAGACAGAGTGGGGCCTACGCCCTCCAGCCCCCAGCAGAGAGTAGGTGGTGGACGTCCCTGGCAGGAGGGTCGAGGGGGCCTGGCTCAAACCACGGCTCTGTTCTCTGCCCCTCTGGCCTCACGGGGACCCATGCGATGCTGTGTGGGAGCAGCAGAGCACAGCAGGAAGCCCCCGCTGCCTTCAGTCTTTAGCCTGAAGCCTGGCCGGGCATGTGCACCCCACCTTCCCTTCCCAAGGCATGGGCTCAGACAGCCGACTCAACTGTGTGCCTTAGCTGAGCCTAGCATCCCGGGAGGGCGGGTCGTCTTTGTTCATAAAGATGGTGAGGGATTCCCCCCTTCTAAAGCCTGTCCCCCAACCCCCTCTGGGGGCCCATCTGGGGCAGAGCAGGGCTGGCCTCTGTGCAGGGAACTCTAGACCCTGAGGTCCCTCTGCTCCACGGTACCTGGCAATGCCAAGCTGGTCACCACACCCACCTTTTCTCCCCGTTCCTTGGAAACTTGTCTCTTGTCATTCACGTCGCACTTGTTCCCAAGTATCATCTTTTCGACGTCTGCAGAGGCGTGCTGGGGAGGAGGGGCAGGTGGGGGAGGGGAGAGGTGAGGTCGGACTGGACTGTGGACCCACTGCCAACCTGTGCCCCAAGATCAGAGCGGTGTGATCAGGACGGCTAGACACACCCTGAACACAGGGCAAGCTGAAGCTCAGAGAGGCCGAGAGGCCTGTCCCGTGTCTCAGAGCCAGGGCCGAGCGCAGGGTTCTGCCTGCCACCCCGACCAAGTGCGTGCTTTCTGGCAGCCAAGGACGCTTTCTCTACAGGCTCTATCAACCAGGCTACCATGCTTGTCCTTGGACTGCTGGCGGTGTCTGGCCTATGGGAGGCAAGCGGGGTGGGGGTCCTGACCCCTGCTCGCCTCCCTCTTCCCTGGCTCCCCCGCCAGAGGCGTCCGCCGCCGTCCGAGCACTGTCTGCTGGCTCCAGCTCCCCTGCTTCAGGCTCCAGATACAAGCTGTGCCCCGGGTGGTCCTCACCCTTGGCAGTCACCAGCCAGGTGCTCCGCCTTAAGGGCGTTTCCTTAACTCTGCCCTCATGCCTGAAAGGGATTCCCTGGTAGCTCAGCTGGTAAAGACTCGGCCTGCAACGCAGGAGACCCTGGTTCGATCCCTGGGTCGGGAAGATCCGCTGGAGGGGGGATGGGCTACCCACTCCCGTGTTCCTGGGCTTCCCTGCTGGCTCAGACCGTAAAGAATCCGCCTGCAAAGTGGGAGACCTGGGTTCAATTCCTGGGTGGGGAAGATCCGCTGGAGAAGGGAATGGCTACTCACTCCAGAATTCTGGCCTGGAGAATTCCATGGACAGAAGAGCCTAGCAGGATAGAGTTCATGGGGTCGCCAAGAGTCAGACGTGACTGAGTGACTTTCACTCTCACTTCATGCCCGAAAATGGTTCCTTCCTCCATCTCTCCCCTACACCCCACAGTGGGCCTCACTTCCTGAAGGACTCGGCCATGAGAGGCCCTTAGAGGGCAAACCAGTGTGCAAACTATTACAGGAGGATTTCAAAAGGTCCCTAAAGCATAGGAAATGGAGAGCTACCCAGACCCACGATCAAGCCTATCTAGTTTCTCAAGGAGGGAAAAAGGGTGGGCTGACTTCACAGTCACTCACTTTCAACCAGAGACATCAGAAAAACAGGAGGGTCTGAATCTCAGCTCTGCCACCCATTGACAGTGTAGTTTTTCACCACTCTGATCCTGGGTCTCCATTTTGGTGTTATAAATGAAGTGATAATGTTTCTTATCTTTAAAAGGTGGGTCAAAGGTGACTAAAGAAAACAGAACCTTTCTGTTCTCAAAAATATAATTCTTTTTCAAAAAGTGTGTGTGCTTTTTCATTCGTGCACAAAACAGATTTAACATTATTACTTTAAATAACTAAGTAAATAATTTAAAAAAAGAAAAAGAAAAGGTTCTTCTTGCTGTAGCTTAGATCTGGCCTCAGAAAAATGCTCGCCACTGCTCCCAAACGTCCTACCAACTGGAAGGATTTCTTGCCCACTGGCCGGAACAGAGAGCTTCCAGAGACTGGTGTGAGGCCCCCTCCTGCCAGCAAATGTGGGGTCCTCAGCCCAGAGCAGCTGTCCACAGATGCCGACTGTGCTGTGACATTCAGCCCTAGCTTCACAGGTGCATGAAGTTCTCAAATCGGAAGCCTCACCCGGTGAGTCATCAAAAGCCACAAGTTTGTCATCGGGGGAGGCTTTGGGGGTGAGGGCAAGCTCTTTGGAGAGCAGGAAGATGACCACACTGGTTTTGGGACCGGTGGAGCGGGAAGGGGGACCTGGGGGTTCTCTTCCCTCGGGGTTCAAGGTCTCCTCCCACAGGCTGCTGTGGGGCCAGCACTGCTGGCCTGAGCACGGGTCCCTCCTCCCAGCTCACAGCTGGCTCAGTGGCAGCTCAAAGTCCGGCCTGACACGCCCTGACCACACCCTCCAAGTACAAAGGTCATGCCACTTCGAGACTCTTCCTTCTCTAGAAAGCACTGAGTGCTCGCAGACACTGGGTCTGACCTTCCTTGATCTCGAGGTCGCCCAAACCAGACAACCTGGCTGGGGGAACAGGCTCTCGGGGCTGCTCCGTGACGAAGCCACGCTTGGGTGGATTCCAGGGTCGGTCGACTGTGTGGATTCCCGTCCCTCTGTTTCTAGCGAGTTACCTCCAGGTGCCTCTGTGCTCAGGGATCTCATGGGTAAACCAGGGCGCTCCGAGATGCGGATGCATGGGAGGGGGTCCCAGAGACTAACCTCTTCAATGTTCCGAATCCAGTTCCGGATGTTATCAAAGGACTTCTCGTTGGTGATGTCGTAGACCAGCATGATGCCCTGAGCAGGGGGAGACAGACACACAGGCTCTGGACAAGCTGCGAGTCCTCTCGGGGGGAGGCCCCAGCAAGGCGGGCAGCAGGGACCCCGACAGGACACCCTCCTGGACCCTTCTTTCTGCTGGGCTCCAGCACCAGCCTCTCCCTGGTGGCCCAGGCTCCAGTCCTGTTCCTTAGCAACCGATGTGACCCTTCCTCCAGAAGTCCAGACACCACTACCCTCAAGCTTACAGAGGAGCCCTGCGGGCAGGAAAAACACAAGCCCGCATGCCTTGGCAGCCATCGAGGGCCCAGTGGCTGACCTCCCAACCTCGCCTCCTGCAGCCCCTGCTCTACAGACTGTGTTCCGAGGTCCTGATGCCCACCGTGCTCCCCCTCTTGCCACCCTTGGCGATGCTCAGTCTCTTCCACACCCACTCACCCTGCCGAGTCTCCTCCTAGACTCAGCCAGGGCAGCCGCCTCCGGTCATCCCAGCATCACCCCTCATCTGGTGCCTGCCATGAGCTGGGCGCTGTAACAGGGCCTCCCTGAGCCACACAGGCTTGGGTCGGGTGGCCCCAGTGTCCTCACTGTGAGAATGGGGACCCTGGGGCTGCAAGTGGGGGCGGGGGGGGCTAGGTCCCTCTCTCCAGACACACGAGAAAGTAAAGGACACAACTGGGGTCTAGGCCTAGGGGGACAAACCCTGATGCCCACGTGCCTTCCAGCAACCCCACCATTATTGGGCTGGCTTCAAGCCCTGGGGCAGGCAACGCTGAGGCCTCTGTGGTTCTGTAACCAACGTGTGAACAACTGGGAGACAGTCCATGGGTTCTGAAACAGGTGCAAAGGGAACCCGTCTCAGCTTGAGCCTACAACCCGCCACTGCCAAGAAGGACAAATACCCCACTTGATAAAAGAGGAAACTGAAGTGCAGAGAGACGTGACCTTTATGATGCCAACCCAGCTCTGACAGAGCTGATGACAGGAACCTCCCTGGACCCTCCACAGGATCAAGCAGTGGTCAGGGCCACCCTGCAACAGGCCCCCTGCTGCCCTGGACATCCCCGCAGGGCACGTGGTGAGCCAGCCTGCAACACAGGATCTCCAGCCCCTGTGCGGCTCAGCCCCCGGGTTCCGAGGCACACGGCCCCTGCTGTCCTGCCCAGGCCCGGCTCACTCCATTCCTTCATCTTACATGCTTCCCTGGGGGGGTCAGTGGTAAAGAATCTACCTGCGACGCCACGCAGGGGACCTGCGTTTGATCGCTGGGCCGGGAAGATCCCCTGGAGAAGGCAATGGAAACCCACTCCAGTATTTCTGCCTGGAGAATCCCATGGACAGAGGAGCCTGGTGGGCTACAGCCCACGGGGTTGCAAAGAGTCACACACGACTTAGTAACTAAACAACCACCACCACCTGCTCCAGGGGCCTAAAGCCTCCGTTCACAAGCGCTGGTGCTGGCTAAGACGCCTCTAAGGCCGCCTGAATTTGCAGAGTAAGAACGCAGGCCATGTGTGCTGGGCAGATAACCACAGGGCGAGGCTGTGACAAAACCACAGAGAGGGCAGGCAAGATGCTGCTATTCCCAATCCCCACTGGGACTCTGAGGCTACATAAAGTGGCCTTATAGCCCACCACAGCCATGACTCCTCAAAAATGCCATCTGGGAACCCTCATCCAGGGGTCTCTTGCGGAGACTAAATGGAGATTTTGGACAGGAAGACTTGGAGGAGCCTTTAGTGGCTGTGATGTGTGCCATGCTCCAGCCAAGCTGAGCCTGAGAAGACTCTGGCGGGTGGACACTCTGAATCGAGCATCAGTGGGGCCTCTACCCACGGGGCTAGAGACGCCACAGGCCTGGGAGGCCTTTCTGCTCCTTTATTCAGGGACTGGCCCCTCTGATGGCCTAGGATTCCGCTGCCACCACTGCTGGGTTGGCGCCATGGATGCGAGATTCCAAGGTCCCAGATTTTTACCTGTGGCGGCTTGAAGGGGGGACAATGAATACAACTCCATCAGGAGGCGCAGGAGTCCCTGGAAAACATCTGTTGTTGCTCAGTCACGTCCGACTCTCTGCAACCCCATGGACTGTAACCTGCCAGGCTCCTCTGTCCATGGGATTTCCCAGGCAAGAAGACCTGCTTACATTCCCACAGAAGGTAAAAGTCTTCTGTGTAAGAAGTGGGTTGCCATTTCCTTCTCCAGGGGATATTCCCGACCCAGGGCTCGAACCTCTGTCTCCTACATTGGCAGGTGGATTCTTTATTGCTAAGTCATCAGGGAAACCCAAAACACAGGATCACTCTGTTTCAGGTCCTCCCTGAAGTGCCCCTCAAGGCTCCAAGTGAGCATCTCTCTGGCCTGTTTGGGCACAGCTCCTCAGATCTGTCTGCAAGCTCACAACCAGACATCAGATGTCCGATGCTCCCCAAACTTTGGTCCAGTGCCACAAGGACAAAGAAAAGGTGATGATGGGGTGCAGTGGTGGCAATGTTCCCTGCCCTATCCTTTATGGTCCCCACTGGCGGTACAAGGCTCTGGGGCCCCTGAAGTGCGGCAGGTGGGACTGAGGGCCTGGGATGCAAACTTTTAACAGATTTAGATTCAAATGGCCACACACAGCTGACAGCTTCCATATGAGTTAGCGTAGGTCTGGGAGGACATGGTCATCTTGGGGCTGGACAGGGTCTCACAGATGGCTCAGTCCTGCCTCGTCAGGAGCTCGCTGAGGACGCGAGGGCTGGGAAGAGCCAGTCACTCACTACAGGCCCATTTATCTTCTGTGTGAATTTAAGCAGGGCCTGAAATGGTGCCGAGCCTCAGGCTCCTCATCTGTAAAATGGGGATGATCACGGCACCTACACTCAGGGGTTTATGGTCAAGACCTAGGCCCCCTGCCAGCTGCGAAGAGCTTGGTGAAAGGGGCGAGTGGCTGGTGGGTGGGGGTATTATTTTAGCCCAGAGAGGGACAGGGTCTGCCTGAGGCCACACAGCAAAAGCTCCCCCGGGACCCAAGTGCCCCAAGACCTCTGCTGTACCAGAACACAGCAAGGTGAGGGGAAAATTAGTAAATTAATTTTAATGAGGAGCACTAAGGTTGCAGCCCACATGATTGAGTTTCTATTATGTTCAGGTGCTGTGTGGGATGCTCTAAATACTTAATGCTTCTATTCATTGCTGCCGTCTACCGGCATTTCCCAAGCTCCTCACACACTCAGTTTGGTCCCAGGCATCGGGCATGTGCCAGGGACCCAGAGGCAGCCCAGCCCTCCTGGAGCTTACGGCCTCGTGGAGGAAACAGGTCTAAGCAGCTGACTGATGGGGTGTACCGTGGAAAGGATGGGGCAAAGCTGGAGCTGGAAATGGGGAGCTGGCCATCTACGGCCAGCGGGGACACAGAAACTGCCTGGGACATTCCTGTTCTCTGCCTGGGACAACTGCCTGGTATATTCCTGTTCTCTGCACCACTTTCTAAGCAAGGAGAACGCGCTCAGAGAGCGACCCCGGTGGCAGAGTAGGTCTTGGGGAGCTTCCTCTCACCCCCCGCAGCCCCTGGGCACCCCGCTTTGTATACACTCCTCACAGGCGCAGGGCCTGTGTGGGGATCGTGAGGATAGGACCCTGGCCCAGGCCAGGCTGCCCTCTGTATCTGATTTGGGCCTGGCCTGGAGAAGGTGCTTGGTGAAAATATTTGACGGATGAAGAGTAAGTCCCCCCAATCGCTTCATCCCGCCTCAGGCCCAGGAAGCAGATGTAACAGACAACAACCCAGAGCTAGTCAGCTCCTGGAAGATCTTCAAGTTTTTGGTAGCAAATTCCACAGAGACTGACGTGGGCCACGTGAGTGCTCCTCAGCGTTGGGGCATGCCAGCTCCAATCTACCTGACTTCACCTGGAAGAACCGGCTTCCTGAGTCTTCCTTCATTCCTGGGGAATTAGGTTTCCTTAAACCCTGTATTGTCTCTGGAGCTGGAAGGGGATGCATGGACAAGGGGGAGGAGGTGGGGCACAGGGCCTTCTCCTAAAACTAACCTGGGACCAAGGACCCCCGAGGAGCCAGACCATGGGCTCCTCAGAAACTCCCTGGTTTCAGTATCTAAGGACAAGATGTTCATTTGACTTGAAAGAAAAAAAACCCCAAAACCCCACGCAAACCAATACATACCATTGCACCCCTGTAGTAGGCCGTTGTGATCGTCCGAAACCGTTCCTGACCAGCTGTGTCCCTAACGAGGAGAAGGAGAAGACGGGATGTTAGTGGTGATGCAGAACAAGAACAATCATCACAGTGTAACGAGGGGCGTTTACCCAGGACGGACAACCAGCTTTCTCACGGGTCATCATCTTCTGATTCATTACCCTGCTGCGGGGCACCGCCCCCCATTATTATAAAGAAAGAAACCAGGGCCAGGGCAGCTGTCTGATGTCTCCTGGCTGGGGATATGGCAGAACGACTCCTCTTCTATACCCTGTCTTCCTGGGGATTTCCCCCACCACCATCCCAGTTTCTGGGCCACAGAAGAGCCAAGGTTGGATGGTATTATTTGTGCGAATCTGGGGCCAGGTGCGTGGAGGGGGCTGGTTAGGTGGCAGGGGAACACAGCCCTCGTTGGTGGGCTGAGTTAGGGGAGCCCTGAGAAGCTTAGGAAGTAGCTCCATGCTCACCATTTTGGTGGAGACCCCGGGGGAAAGGCCTTTCTTGTGGGTACGGTGGCGACACCTGGGTCAGATATGCCCCTGTCCAGCCCAGCTCCTGGCACAGAGGGTATTCAGTATTGTTTGAAGGTGACGACTGGCTGGTGGCAGAGACAGGGCAAGACCACAGCTTTTGTCTCTGGGCCCAGGGCTCCTCCTGTGACCCTGCACCACCCTCTGCTCAGGGCTCAGCATGTCTGGACCAGATAGACACACCTGATTTGGGGCCATGTTGACTTTTGGCCACCAATAGCAGGTGACGTTAGCAGTTATGATCAGTTATTTTACAACTGTTCTAGAAGAGTTTTAAGAGAGTCATTAACCCCAATGTGATTGCTAAGAGCAGAAGCAGGAGGAGGGGAGGAAAAGAAAGCAAAACTCTTGCTTGCTGGTGCAGTGTCCCTTTGAACTTGGGCACTGAGGCTGCCAGGGAGCCAATGTGTTGTAAAATACAGGAACTTGAACGGCCTGTAACTTACGAGGCGGCCAGAGACTGGCTGCCTCCTGAGCTCAGGAGGATCAGTTAGGCCACACCCAGATTTCCATTCTGAGGTTGGGCTCAGAGGTGGAGACCCCTGAAGTTGAGGGGACCCACCAGGCAGGTGGGGCAGCACTCAGCATCTGAGACTTGAGCTGGGGAGACAGCTGCAGGGAGGGGGCTCCGCAGCGCATCTCATGGCCCCCATCCCACACACAAGCACGTGCCTGGACTGGAAGGACTGAGTTACCCTCCCAGATGGGACCTCTCTGTGTGGTTCAGGGTTTGTGTTTCCCCTGCGAGTGACGGGGCTGCAGGGTGAGGCCCTCCTACATATGACCACCTGAGCCTAGCCTTCCTAGGGCAGTGGCCTACAGACCACAATGCGTGATGGGGACTCACAAATTCTGATTTTATGGAGCACAAGAAGTCAGTCCCAGGTGAGCTGAACAGAAACAGATCTCACTGTTGGGCCTGGTCTCAGCTCATTTTTGGTTTTGGGGTTTCAGGTCTGCGTGTTAGGAAGTGAGGCCTGGGTGTCTCCAGGACAGAAAAGAGGAAGTGATGTCAGGCCTCCTTCATCAAGCTGACGGGCTCATGGAGAGGCTGGGCAGGCATATCCTGCTATTCTGCTTTCACTGCTGCCACGAGGGTTCTCTGTGAGCTCAAGGGGAGCAGGCTGCTCTGAGGCGCAGTGTGCACCCATATGTGAACTGGCACTGGTGGCCATGTCCTCAGAGGGGGCGCCCCATCAGCCAGCAGAGCACCGTTCCTGGGGCTTCTGTCGGCTCCTCCTTTCTTTTTCTGGCCATATAGCTAGGGATATGGGGCTTCCCTGGTGGCTCAGATGGTAAAGAATCTGCCTGCAATGCAGGCGACCTGGGCTCAATCCTGGGTCGGGAAGATCCCCTGGAGAAGGGAATGGCAACCTACTCCAGTATTCTTGCCTGGAGAATTCCATGGACAGAGAAGCCTCATGGGCTGTAGTCCATGGGGTCGCAAAGAGTCAGACATGACTGAGCGACTAACACTCACGTTTCTGGGTATGTGGGATCTTACTCCCCTGACCAGGGGTCGAACCCATGCCCCCTGCAGTGGAAGTGCAGAGCCTTAACCACTGGACCACCAGGGAAGTCCCTTCACCTGGGGCTTCTGAAGAATGCCCAAAGTGTTTGTGCTAGGCACAAAGAGATGAGAGCCATGGTCGGGGGGTGGGGCATCAGGAGCTTCTAGCTCAAAGCACTTGCTGGCGGAGGGGTTGATGAAGGCCACAATGCTTACCATATCTGTAGCTTAATTCTCTTGCCATCGAGCTCTATGGTCCTAATTTTAAAGTCAATTCCTGAAAGAAAAGAAAAAAAGGCACATCACTGTCAGTGTCTTTCCTAAGCTGCATCTACAGCAGGGGCTGCCAACCTGTGCAGTAACATCTGCCACAGTCTCGGGGGCACCTGCCAGCGCTGGGCATGCAGGATCTCTAAACCCCTCAAGCCAATCTAGAGATACCTGGTGAACTTCCTCCTCTCACAGGAGGGGAGGCTGAGGCTCAGAGGACAGAATGGAGCTGCACAGAAGGAAGCTGGCGAGGCGCAGGGCTGGCGGACAATCCCAGCCAGCTCAAGTGCCAAAGCGTTGTTCTCCTCCCTTCCCTGGTTGGCGGCCTCATGGAGTGGGTGCCAGAGCCCCCCACTTCCTGCCACCCGTATCTGGCCCTCCAAGCACAGCGGCACCAGGCCGAGATGTACCCGATGCAGACGGGCTGCTAGCACTCACGTGTGCAGGTCCTTCTCTGAGAGTGGTCCCCACCCTGCCTGCCTATCAGCCTGGCAAACGCTGCTGAAAGGTCCCCTCCCAAGAAGCCTTCCTGACCCTGCCCTCCTTCTCTCCCACCCTCTGGCCCTAGGCCCCTTTCCCCAGCACCAGGGTGACCTCTCAGCCTTCCTAATTGCCCTCCAGGCTCTCCCACCGTCCCCTCAATGCCCTCCCTGGCTTCCAAAACACACACTCAACCACGTCACTGAGCTAACCTCGGCTCCAAACCTTCCAGTGTGTTCACCAACACATGAGTGGATAAACAAAACGCAGTTCGTCCCTACAGTGGACTATTACTTAGCCCTAAAACGGAACGGAGCACTGACATGCCGCTACGCGGGTGAACTCTGGAAATATGACGCTGAGGGAAAAGCCAGACATGAAAAGTCACACAGTATACAATCCTGGTCACAGGAAACATCCAGAAATGGCAAATCCAGAGCGACAGAAAGGAGATTATTGGTTGCCCAGGGGTGTGGGGGAATAAGATTGACCTGGGGGTGTGGGGGTGTCTCTGTCATAATGAAAATGTTCTCAAATCGACTGTGATGATGGCTGTACAATTCTGTAAATGGGTCTGAAGCCACCGACTTATACACTTTAAATGGGTGAGTTGAATTATATGTCAATAAAACTTTTTTTTTTTTTTGGTCACGCCATATGACATGCAGGATCTCAGTTTCCCGACCAGGGACTAAAATGAGCCACAGCAGTGAAAGCCTGGGATCCTAACCACCAGGCCACCAGGGAACTCCCCACAAGACTGTTTAAAAATTTCTCCCAACACCTTTCAGTGGCTTCCCACTGACTCCTCGGCCCCAGAATAAAGTGAAAACAGTTGCCAAGGGCTCTAACCCGGTCCCCTCAGCTCCCATGGCTCTCAGCTTCCTCTGGCCACACTGCCAAAGCATGTTTCAGCCTCAAGGCTTTTAGGGTTGCTCTTTCCCCTCCTGGAATGTTCTTTCATTCCATGGCCACCTGGCTCCCTTCTCCCTTCACTCAGGTCTCTGTTCCAGTCACCTCCTCAGGGAGCCTTCCTAACCATCCTCTCTCCTCCAGCCTGCTTCATCTTCTTCACTTATTATCCCTGACATTGTTTATTCACTCCATGAAGCTAGGAGCAAAACGTGATGATCTGAATGGCCTGCGTGGAGGGGTGACAGCTAAGTCCAGTCCTTGCCCCTAGGAGTTTGTTCTAAATCTCTACCTGTGGGGATTTCCCTGGTGTCCCGTGGCTGAGACTCTGCACTCCCAATGCAAGGGACCCAGGTTCGATCCCTGGTCAGGGAACTAGGTCCCACATATTGCAACTAAGAGTTTATGCCTCAATTAAGCCCTGGTGCACCCAAATCAATCAATCAATATGTACATAATTTTTTAACCTCCACCTGTGAAACTCTGAGACTGAGGCCTGGCTTGACTCCTTAGAACCTAGGGTTCATGTGTGTGCGCTCAGTTGTTCACTCGGGTCGGACTCTTTGACCCCATGGACTGCAGACCGTTAAAATACCTGTTAGGGATTCTCCAGGCAAGAATACAGGAGTGGGCTACTATTTCCTTCTCCAGGGGATCTTCCTGACCCAGGGACTGAACCTGGGTTTCTTGCGTCTCCTGCATTGGCAGGTACATTCTTTAACCACTGAGCCACCTGGGAAGCCTAGAACCCCACAGGGGATGCTAATTCCATCCTTGCCTGCCTCAGGAGCTGTCCTGTGGATGAGAGGGAATGTAAGCCTGCACCTGAGCACTGCCCTTTAGAACGTAAGCTCCAAGAGGGCAGGTGTTCTTTTAGTTATGATTGCATCTCCAGTGACAAGTGAAGCAGGGTTGAGTATGTATTTGCTAGAAGCTGATCACCCAGTCCTGCACACAAACTTTGACTGCAGGCCTAGTTAACAGTTCTGCTTCCTCCTGATCCATTCAAGTCACCCCTCGCTCCTACACTGAGCCAGATTTCCGGTGTGCAGCAGGTACTGGGGAAAAGATGGCTGCGTGAAAAAAAAAGAATGAAGAGCAAGGGATCTACGTGGTGCTGCGTGGTTTAGCAAGCACTTTCACATACGTCATCCACCTCCCTGAAGGAATGAATGAATGGGGCCCTAAGGAGAAGTCAGGGGTTGAGCCAGTCTGGGGAGAGCCAATTCCAGGAGCCACGGGGCCAAGTTCGCACCACAAATGATTGATGGAGTTTATCAGAGCAGGCTTTGGCAAAATGTAACCTGTGCAGAAAATGAACAGCCATTTAATCCCCAATCTATAAAGAAAATACAGAGGTACACTCAGTGCCAATCGCCTCTATGCATTAGGCTGCATTTCAGGACTAAGCCACATGCACGTGGCTTCTTAAAGCATTCTTAAAGTCTTCCTAAAACATCCCCTGCTCCTGTTACACATGCGTGTATGTGTGTGTTAACTGCTCAGTAGTGTCCAATTCTTTGCGACCCTATGGACTGCAGCCTTCCAGGCTCCTGTGTTCATGGGATTCTCCAGGCAATAATAATGGAGTGGGCTGCCATTACCTTCTCCAGAGGATCTTCCCCATCCAGGGATTGAACCCAGGTCTCCTGCATTGAAGGCAGATTCTTTACTTTCTGAGCCACCAGGAAAGCCCACATACATGGGAATGTATGAAATCAAGAAGCACTGTCCAATCGACAGAACTCCAAGTGCCACTCTGTTCTATCTGCCTCTTGGGTTTTACTAACACACCAAGTTTAATTAGGAAGTGTAAACTTTACAAGGCCTAAGAGTTATGAGGTCATAACTTCAAGGTCATGGGGAATTAAATTTTCCTAGAAAACAGAGGCCAGCAGGAAGGCTACACATGTAATGAGGATCCCAGGGTGGCGGGGCAGGATCCTGGGTTTAAGTGCCACGTCACCGCCTTAGATGACCTTGCCCAAGTTACATCCTCACCTGTAAGTGGAGGCTGGCCTCCTCAGAGACTAGACTGGGTTTTCCCATCAAGAATTAAGAACCAAACAAAAAACTCAACCCCCAAATTCTCACTAGGAAGGTTCTGACTCTGGGAAACCGAGGTCTGGACTGAGAGCGAGCCACAGTCTACCAGGAGTGAAGATCACTTCCTGATTGGTGGGGATGCAAAGGGAAAACCCCAAAGTTTGACCTTGGTGTTAGGGAGGGGGGAGGAACCAGAAGGATCTGTGTCTGGGGAAGGATGCTGTCATGATAGGAGACATTGTGCTTCCTCTAGATGGCCACTGACAGCGGTGAAAGCCCCCTATTCACTGTACAGTTCAGATCCTCCACCATCCAGGCGCTGGCAAAAACAGAGAACACCACTCCTAAACTGAATAAACAAGGCTCGGAGATGAAGTGCTTGTTCAAGGGCAAACAGCACCTGGACATCAGAATAATGACTGCCAGTCCAATTCTCTTCCCATTTGGCAGCTAAGTGTCTTGCAAAGTGCAGCTCTGGAAGAAGGCAAAGATGGAATCGGCAGCTCGCTATGTGGATTAGGGAGATAAGGCACACACGGGTAAAGCAAAGTCCATTTCCTACATTTTTTCCCCCCAACTCCTGGGCTTAGTGATCTTTCTCCCAGTTCCCCATGCCACAGCAAGGCTGCATAGTTTGCAGGCCATCGGCTTGATGGATGTTACTTTCAGGTCAAACCCTTTCATGTGGACAATGGTCATTTTTGAGGGCTAGGGAGAAGTCAGCTCCACTTTCATGGATGTCAGAACTGAGAAGCAACAAGTCAAGTCTGTTCTACCACAATGTGGGTTGGCCCTGCAGGCAAGGGCTGTTCTGCAAAGTGACAACCAGTGTCCTGGGCCGAGCGATAGGGAAGTCAGGGCTGTCAGTGGCAGCGGCTGATTTTGGTTTCTCACTGAAGCTTTTATCTGGCATCCGCCTCCAGATGACAAGTCCCAGATCAGACAGCTATCAATCGTCATTTCTGTCACCCTCAAGTGGGATGGAAGGCTGAGCACGGGCAGGGAAAGTCTCTGGACTCCCTCTCACCATTCCTTCTAGAAGAAATTCATCCACGGGGGAAACAGGTCAGGGAGAGGGGTGCAACTCCCAAGTATTCCAGAGGAAAGAAGAGGAGATGTCTGGGTTGGAGTCCTGGCTTTGAGATGGATCAGCTGTGCTTGTCCTGGGGGTGAGCGCTCACATCTCTCTGGGATGGTTGAGCCTTGAGTTCTGGGTTCAGACATAAAGTGAAAGTGAAGCTGCTCAGTCCTGTCCGGCTCTTTGCGACCCCATGGACTGTAGCCTATAATGCTCCTCTGTCCATGGGATTTTCATACATATCTGGGAACAAATACTATCCTTGCCACCTGTAGACGGTGTGACCATAGGCAAGTCTAGTGTCCTCGTGAGCCTCAAGTTCCTTATCTGTGAAACGAACTAGTAACAGCACCTAATACAGAGCATTGGGAAGTGTGATAATGCACCATAAAGCGCCTAGCACACAGTAAATGCGTAATAAGATCAGATGTCACTTGTCGTTGTCCTTTCCCCATAGACAAATTCTCCATGCCTGTTTCCAATTAGTAAGACGAGGAGACCAAAAACTGCTTCAAGGGCTGCTGTGAAGACAGAACAAGATGACGGGGGCCAAGACCTCAACCAGGACATATATTCCCTGAGCAGGCTGAGGGTTGGGGCCTCAGTCTTCCCATCTGCAAAATGGGCACCTGGTCCCCACTCCCTCCCATGGCCGGGGAACCCCCAAACGACGATGCAGGCGACTGCTCTTTTCCCCTCTACCTCCCTTAGATCCTCTGAGGTCCCTGGTCCATCCCGCCCGGCCGCTCCCTCAACCCCAGCTCCGCAGGGGCGCGCCCGGTCCGGGCCTCTCGAGCCCCCGGCCGCTCCCCAGCCCCGCTACCTATGGTGGAGATGAAAGTGGAGTTGAAGGCGTCCTCGGAGAAGCGGAACAGGACACAGGTCTTCCCCACCCCCGAGTCCCCGATCAGCAGCAGCTTGAACAGGTAATCGTAGGTCTTCGCCATATTACACTCTCTCCCCGACGGGAAGTGCTGCTAGCGCCTCGCCACTGGCCGCTAGCCCCGTCCATCAGCGCCGATCCCGCCCCCGATTGGCTCCTGGCCCGACGCGCGTCACTGCGGCCGATGCCAGCCCCCCGCACCCCGCCCGCCTTGGGAAGACGTGGGGAAGGGGAGAACTGGGCGCAGAGCCGGAAGCGACCCAAACGCGCCGCTCATTGGCCGGCGCTCAGGACAAGGCGAGCTGCGATTGGCCAGCGGTGAGAAGTCAAGAGGCTTCAAATAGGGACAGGGAGAAGGCGTGGCATCCCCTGTCCCCGCCTTCTTCCCTCGACTCTGGGGCGGCCCCGCCCCTCGAAGGGACGGGGATAAGCCGGGAGCTTGGTAAACGGCTCCGCGCGCCCTCAAACCAGGGGCTGGTCTGGAGCTTGTGCGCACGCGCGCCGGGAAGACCGTTGGCGCCAGCAGAGGGCGCACGCGCGTGGGGTCTCTGGCTCCCGCGCTCCAAGACCCGCGCAGCCTCAGTTGGCGCCGGGACAAGTGCTGGGAGGCGGCGTGGATGTGGTGGAGCTGTGTGGAGGCGTCCGCGTCGTTCCAGGGGAGCCAAAGAGCAAAGGAGAGCAAGGGCGCCGTGATACTCGAAGAGAGGTCCCCTCGAGACCTGTTGAGGGACCTCGGCGCTGGTCAGGGGACCTACCTATAGATACCCAGACCTCATTCACCAAGCTGCGCCCCGAGGCCCGCAGAGCTCCAACCTGTTTGAGTTGTCCAGGTCTTGCCCCGGAGCCTCGCCCGCGGCAAACCAATCAGCCCTTGGAGGCGCACCTGGGGGTTTCGGAACCCTCTGAAGGAGTTAGCACAGTGTGAATTATAGGGAATACTTAATGGGTGTTAGTTCTGTGCCTGCCAATGTTGTCCGCATTTATAAAAACATAGTGTTTTATCCCCACCCCAACCCACGGAGGTAGGTATTATTGTCCTCCCCCCGTTTTATGATGAGGAAACCGAGGCCAGATAGGTTAAGTGACTTTCCCAGGCTCTTAACCAGGTAGGCTGGATTTTGAACTCAAAGGGACCAGCTTCAGAGGTTGAGGTCTTTTTTTTTTTTGTCTGCACCATGTTGCTCAAACTGTAAAGAATCTGCCTGCAATGCGGGAGACCTGAGTTCGATCCCTGGGTGGTGAAGATTTCCCTGGAGAAGGAAATGCCAACCCACTCCAGTGTTCTTGCCTGGAGAATCCCCGTTGACAGAGGAGCCTGGAGGGCTACAGTCCATGGGCTTGCACAGAGTCGGACATGACTTTAGCGACTAACACACACACACGTTCATGTTGCATGTGTGGACCTTAGGTACCTGACCGGGTATGCCTCTGCAGTGGGAGTGTAGATTCTTAACCACTGGATCGCCAGGGAAGTCTGGAGGCTGAGGTCTTGATCACGTTTTCCTGCATCATAGAGATGAGCCATACCACTTGCATGGCCACCGGTAGGTGTCGCTCTGGGGGTATCATGCTTGGAGACTTGCCCAAGGATCTTATAAAAGATGGCCCCCACCTCTCCTTCCTCCCACTGCAGCACATTTTTCTGCTAATCTTGCTACGGTTAGGAAGAGCTTCAGCCAGTCATTGGCCCCTTTGCAGGTTTCCGCCTGTGTTGTTTGCTACTACTGACCACATTCTCTGGTGGTCCCTCTTTGCTTGGTACTGTTCCCATTTTATTTTCCCGTTTCTTTTTTTACCCACACCACTTCTTCTCTGGGTGCTGCTTCTCAGATTCCATTGCAGTCTTTTGAGGGGTTTTTGCTTGTCTCTCAGAATTGCTGTTCCTCATGGTTCTCTGTTCTTGCTTCCAGGGTGATCTTATTCACTTCCTTGGCTCCTATTATCTCCACGCTGGGTGATTTCTAGCCCATAGCTGAGCCATCCCTCTATGTCCCAACTACTTTCTGGGTATCTGCCTTTGTATCTGTTAAAGATACCTCAAACTCATGATATCCACAACTAAACTTGTTATCTTCTACTCACACTAGCTTGAGTTATCGATTCTGAGTGAGACCGAAGTTGCCTTTGATACTTTTTCATTTTTAGAGGTTCTAAATGGCTCTTAAATCTTGTCCTTCTATCTCTGTTGCCTGTCAGATCATCACATCTCTCCACTAGTCTCCCTGATTATTCTCTAATCCAGATTCTGCCCTTCAGTGTGCTTAGTCTAAAACATTTATCCCATTTCCATCTGTGGTCTATTGGCAGGATAAAGTCCTCACAATCTGGTCCTAAGCTCACCTTCTGTCCCACTCACACTTTATGGGATTGGGTATTCTCCAAGAGCTGAGACAGGTCAGTTTAACAAACATTACTTGTATTAAGTGCTGAGGCACCAGGATGACTAAAACAGTATACTGAGATTAGATTACAGGCCAAGGGGGGTAGGGGGGAGATGAGGAACTTCAATCCAGCAATGGTAGGGTAGGTAGAGGACTGCATTATACTTCATTTGATCTACCAGCTTAACAAGCTCACAGTGTCAGCATAACTGTTGAATTAAAATGAAGGAAATGTTTTTAATTGTACTAGGCAACAAAAAAATTTCTTGCGTTAGTCTTTATTAAAGGCTTTCATTTCTCCTTTTGATTCCCTATTCTCCTTCCTCAAGATCAGATCTTAGAGCAAATATCAAAGCAATTAAGGTAGTGAAACTGCAATCATCTTTGACCTTTTCTTCTTTCAGTTCAGTCGTGTCCAACTCTGCGACCCCATGAACCGCAGCACGCCAGGCCTCCCTGTCCATGACCAACTCCCGGAGTCCACCCAAACCCATGTCCATTGAGTCAGTGATGCCATCCAACCATCTCATCCTCTGTTGTCCCCTTCTCCTCCTGCCCTCAATCTTTCCCAGCATCAGGGTCTTTTCAGATGAGTCAGCTCTTCACATCAGGTGGCCAAAGTATTGGAGTTTCAGCTTCAACATCAGTCCTTCCAATGAACACCCAGGACTGATCTCCTTTAGGAAGGACTGGTTGGATCTCCTTGCAGTCCAAGGGACTCTCAAGAGTCTTCTCCTTTAGGTTTTTCTTTAAGTTCCTGCCACCCAATAAGCTAAGTCTTAAGATCACTTCTTCCTTCTTATTCCATTATGGCAAGCACTATATCCTGGATTAATTGAAATATTCTCCTAGCTGATCTTCCTGCCTCTAGTCTACCCTCACTCTAGTCCTCTGACAATGAATACTAAGTGGATGTTCCTAGCAAATAAATATTTGTTGAATTGTTGGCATTTTCCATTCACATTTGTTGAGCCAAAATGCTGTGTTATGTCCCCACACATTCTAAAATTCACACAAATTGGAGTTTATGTAAAAATTTATTTGACCAAAATGTAGAAAAAGTGATACTATTACATATGATACAGTTGCAAGAATCTAAATGGAAAGTGTGGGTTTTATTCAATTGCACAATTTGCTAGTGTATCTCCTGGGTAGTGTGGCGCTTAATAAATAGGAGTGAGGGGCAGAGGATTCAGATAAGCTAGAAGCAGGGTGATTCTTTTAGTCAGAATTGTAAACTTGAGTTGGCCCCCACACTGCTGGGGAATGTGGAATGTTTCAGCTCTGAGATGTTAACTGAGAAAGCAGAAACATAACAAAATGCCCTGTGTACAAAATACTCCATATCCAGTTTAATCAGGAGTTTCTCGGTCTTTTATTAACTTGGTCCTGAAGAAGGAATTAAAATTCTAGATAAGTAAATCTCCAATTTGCCATTCTCTTGAGTATAGAGATGAAGTTATGCCAATTTTTTAGTTTTTACTTTGCTGTCTTGAGAGGGCCATTCTGCCTAATATTTGTTCACAGAAAAACAGTCTTGCTCAATTACTGATAGTTTTGAAAAAGACTGCTTCTCTGAATAGGACTGAATTCTCCAACATTCATTCCTCCTGAGTGGATGGCCTCATATCAGAGCAGATAGCATGGGTCATTATTGGAATAAGACATCAGCTCCTCAGAGAACTTAGAGTGAAAGAAACATATAGAAGAGCATATCAAGGATCTATCCAAAAACATTTGGGTAATTATTATGACTCTTTTCTGAGCACTCTCATGCTGACTGCTCAGAGGATGTTTGTTTTGTTCTGCACGGTGGAGTGCGGAAAAGAGCTGGGATGATCAGGTTAACCTCTCTGTGGTTTATGACTTCCCACAGTAACCCCACCCCCACTTTGGTCTGGATGGAAAATCCCCACCCATTTTAATGTGACGATCCCTGGCCGCCTACCACGTGACCAATGGTGGACATTCTCCAATGTTTTAAACTGACCCATGGCTAGAGATCAGAATCTTGTGTTTTGAAAGTATGGGGTTGTCTATTCTCCCAGGAACCAAATGCCCTCAGTCTTAAAAGGGAGTATGTATGCTCAATATGAAATACCCTGCCTACCTTAGGAATATATGCAATTTAAGGATTAAAAATAGAGCTGAAAAAACTGGTGTCATTTTGGAAAAAAGGAAGGAACAGATTAACTGGTGCTCAAAGCTTTTCTGATACAAAATATTTGGTCATGTATTCATAATTTGCTTGACATTTCCAGCAAAGCGAAGAGGCAATAACAAAAGAAACTTCTTACAAGAGAAGAGAAAGACACGGCGCTCTGGAGTTTCTGTTGGAACAAGACTCTTCTGTTTTGGTTATATACAGTTTAGTTCGTTTAGTGTCTGATCCAGTGTCTGATGTAAGCCCACGTTCTCTTCTTTGGCCTGGGCAAGTTTTTCTGGTGAAAATTAAGAATGAGGGAAAAACAAATTAATAAGTGTCTTTATTAAAAGGGGGGAAAAACGTTTCTAAGCTCCACACTGCCAGAGTGAAAGAGCAGAGAAAGTACTCTGCATTTTAATTATAGTAGAACACATGGGCTTCTAGACACTAAAAACCAAATCTGGTAGTTAGGCTTGGAAAATGAAATATAGGCTGCTGAGTTAAATTTGAATTTCATATAAATAAAATTTTTAATGGAAGCATATTGCAAATGTTGCTTGAAATACACTTATGCTCAAAATTTATTCATTGCAGAGCTGAAATTAAAATTTAACTGGGTGTCCTGTATTTTAATATGCTAAATCTGGCAATCCTAGAGTCAGAACACCTGACTTAAGCCCCGTGAGGTAAATGCCACTTAACCTAAGTCATTTAAA